TAGCGCGTTCGTTCCCCACCATAGACACCTGCGGTCCAGAGTTTTGCAAATATCTCAGCAGCGTTGTGGTTGTATTTCGCTCAGTACCCTGCCGCGAAATTATAGTAGGCAGAAAATAAAAAGGTATAACTTACTTTTTACTTTTCAAGACTCAAAATTGTTCTTTGACGCATTTTAAGGAGCAGACGAGATAACTGATAACTTCGCTTAGCGATAAAACTTGAGAAGTTCGATTTTATTTATAAATTTAAAAACTTTGAGAAACACTGAACGAGAGTGCCAGGCCAGATAAATGCATAAGAAACAAGAGTGATGGACAATAAGCCTTAAAAACAACTTTTAAACGATACTTTTGCTATATCCCTACTCGAAATACCATCTTTATCGTATATGTTGTTAGATAACCACAATAACTTTAACTTATAGATTTCTAAGCAATTTAAAAAAACAACTATATGATCGAAGAACTTTTCATAGAAGAAAAAACCACAGTAAGCACCACTCTGATGGTCAGGACAGTTTACAAAAACTCATTAAGTTAGTTTGTAAAGTGTTTATCGATGTGAAAAACAAGTCCCAACTCGACATGCGATGGGAAAACCAGACGTGTGCCGACGGACAGGTTGTAAACAGAGATCTTAGACGAAATGCCACCCACGTTGCCAGTTCATTTCATTCTCCCAGACCAGATACATCCAATAGGAAAGTTTAAAACTACTTTTCAAATGTTTGTATATGGTAACAACAATGACTAAATTATTTGGTCATACTGTAATTTATCAGACCTAGAAGAAACTTTTGCAAATCTGAGAACTTTTTACACTATTGAAATCGAACACCGTCTGCAATACAACCACAACCGTGAATTACTGCTAGTTCATAAAGTACGGATTAAGCAAACGTATGTTTAATGGCCTTGACCATGTGATTACTGTGGACTAAAGCAATGGTTAATCGAATTCTCTTAACGAAGAGTTTCTCCCGAAGATCATTTCAAGGGTTCCAGAACGAGTAATTGTTGGAAGAATATGCCCTACTTGGCAATGCCAGTAGTCGCAGCAATTTCCAGTGAACTTCCAGAATTGTCTCAAGACGCTTCATTAGCATTATAATATAAAAAGGATTCGTTGCGCAAAGAAGGCTCTGTTCAAGTGATGCAGGCCAATTCCTCAAGAAGGATCCGGAAGCCATTCGTCACTACGCTACCAATTCATCATAGCTCACAGCAAAAAGAAAATTCCGTCTAGATTTCCACCTACAGAAGAGCATAACATTCTTCTTGTGGAGTCCTCATGCCAGTGAAAACGGAAGCCAATTTCTTCTGGTGAGTACGGTGATGTAGAGCCCATAGTTCCCATGATAGAATGTCATTACCAATTTTGATTTCTTCTAAACTCAGAATATTTTAAGTACGTTGCTCCTCCGCAACTGCAGCATCGCATGAAATTTCATGTTTAATAAAAGAAATATTTACAAGTCATTAAGGAAATAATTTCGATTTTCAACCCTTAACATGAAATATAGGAGCGCGTGTGGCGCAGTGCTTGGAGACGCCATTGCGACACACACGTGGGATCGATCCATGCGCCCATGGTGCACCAAGCCCTCCATCCCTCCAGGGTCGGCAAATTGGTACCAGACTTGTCTGGGAAGATAGCAGCACTGGCTCGATACATCGGTAGGCCACCATGGGCCATAGTAAAGGCCATATATGCATTCAATCACTTCCAACGATACTTAATGAAATCGAATGCATGGCGCATCCCTCTGAGAGCGATAACGTCGAGAGCTTTCTCCTTTTTATCCTTTTAAAATGGAATATAAGTATCACACCCAGGAGTCAAATGTTAATATAAGTACAAATCGTTGCAATGCTCATATTTTTTGCAACAATTTAAAAAAGTCTACTTAGTTACGTAGGCCTGTTTGCTTCCTCACTTCCAAAAGTGTTACAGGGATGCTAGAACTTCTGCTTTACACACTAGTTCTTCCACAAGCTCATACCCTATTGCCGTTAGATCTGCTTCAATTTACGACTTTAACATACTCAAGATAATGCAGAATTTCAGTTGGTAGTTATACATATCGATGCCTGTCTTTCGAGTGCTCAACTACGTATCGAAACTAAAGCACATCGTCCGTCGTGCTCTTCCCCTCTACTAAGTGCGCAATAAAATTAGTCGCGATATCCAGAACCGAATTCAAATCATCGTCGCTAATGTGTCAAGTGGTAGTAAGGACAGTGAAGTGAAGGCATGAGGCAGACTGCCCAGACTGACCTCGGGATTCCAGGGAACCACAATGGCTTAACCAGCAAATCACCGAAAAATTGTGGTCATGCTGAGGGCCGTACAACCAGCGAGGACGGGCCGTTCACGTATCAAGTAAGTAAGAAGTGAGGATAGGTCTCAACATTAAAGAATTTCGGAGACTGAACACAACTCCTATATACTGCGCAAGTGTTATCTCTTATTTTAACAAACAATTATTTAAAGCTGACTTTTTAAAACACATTTAGATAGTGCAATACATCAGTTTACCGTTAGAGTAATGTGGTAGAAGTCATAAAAAAACTTGAATGCGTTCACTTTCAGTTTTCTTACTTGAACAAAGAGGGAATAGCACAAGACAAGAAGGAAAGTACGTCTTGACGATACTTTTTGAACACAAACTGAACTTGATAATAAAGAACGTGTTTATGTAGGGAAATAAATATTACATTTATAATTTCGCCTGGGCAAAATACGATTTAAACTAGAATAACTGAAAGGAAGGAAAAGTTGAAAGATGTTAGGTAGATGAAGCTAAAAAGCAGACCAACACATTGGTTTATTGCCATTTTAGAACCCGTTTGAGGATGGATGAGATGCACAAAACAGCTAAACACATCTGTTCAGCTGCTACAGTTCGCGAGAATATAAATTTTAAGAGCACTTTTAAACAAAGAATCCTGAGCGGTAGGATTTATGAACACAGTAAACGACTGATAACGAAAGGTAGACACAGAGTACAGGTCGAAGTAAAACAGATAGATTTCATTAGTGAACTAAACTCCTTTACGTAATCGTTTTCGCACTTCTTGTGGTACAACATCATCTGCACCATAAAGATCTGCCCTGGGTAAACGATATGAATATCCATCCGCAAACACTACAGTATATTCGATTGTCTTCGACAAGAAGCGGTAGTAACCATCATACACTTGACCATCATTCCAACGTACTTTAACCTTAAACATTACTGTTACAACTGAACGTCTTAGGGAAATACATTAGGTAGAGATGATCAAAACAGAACAAATAATTACTCGAATCTCATTTAGAAATGGGCCGGAAAATCGTTCAAAAAAACCTCTCGGCGTTGATCAATTCCTGAGGGAAGCGCCATTCATTCGGCTTGATTAAGCATCGTTGGAGGTGGTTCAATGCATATCTGGCTCTGACAATGACTCGCTGCGGGCTACCGAAGTATCGAGCCAGTGCTGCTATCCTCCCAGAAAAAACTGGTACCAATCTGCAGACCCCGGAAGGATGGAAAGCTTGGTGGGCCACAGGAGCTGGAATCGATCCCATGTGTGCATTGCAGGGTGCCTCCGACCACTGCGCAACACGCCTCATGGAACATTGTTACACCAAGAAATTGTTGCATTATAAAGAATGGCTCGCTTAAAAAATAGCCGTTGTTGTAAAAAGTTGAAAAAAAAACCCTTGTTGTATCAAAGATTACAGATCAATTCGCCGCTTCCTTCCAGGCATGAATGAAACTGGCTCGAAGACATGCCTCGTTAACCAACAAATTACGTTCAAAAATGTTTAAAGGAAGGAAAAGTATGTAGTACTCAGTGCATAAACACTGACTAAACCATAACACCACGAGACGGGTGCTGATCATTCTTTCCAGTTGTAGTACGTCGACAGATGTTCCGAAGAGAGCGGAACAATCGATGCCATTGTTCCGCATTCATCGGAAAATCTGTCCTCTTACAACTCAAAAGAATGATCAGCATTTCTAACCGCTTACGTCGAGATAGCTTTACTAGCCACTTGTTCGGTCGCATTGATCTATATAATTTCTCGGTTTAGAATATGTTATCGTACCCTGCTGCCCGGTTGATGTTGCCCGTCAGGACAACCAAGCCGCTTAATACAGCAGCACTGCACGATGTCATTAGGCATAGTGTTTTCAGACACGGATCCGTCTTCAAAGTCGATCGTTAAGAGTGTTCGAAGCACTAAACGTTCCACTCTGCCCTGTTGAACGCGAGAACCACCGTCCATCCAAGCTATCACTATGTCACCCAAATCCACATCCATCAGCGGTTCCACTGCAAAACAATGTCATGAATCACCATGCTTTTGTTTTTTGTTTTCTGCCTCTATATTCTTCATAGCAGGACATTATGCGAAATACAACTACAACGATGCTGAGATATTTGCAAAACTCCGGACAGCTGGTGTCTGCAGTGGCAAACGAACGCGCTATTACTCTTTACGGAAACTAACGCGTTCACCACCACACCATGCGGGTCCTTCGTTTCGCCTGTCTCTCAGCAGGTTCCTAGTTAATATCATGAATCGTTTTGCACTTTACGATGATTGATTTGGCTTCGTCACTACTAAAGCTTTTTAATGCTACGGACAGAATCCCTATGGTCTACGTAAGAGTAAGTACAGAAAAACTGACACGATAAAAATGAAAAGGGCACTTTACCTTCGGCTACTTGATGTCGATCACATATCATGACTGTAACCAATGGGAACGCGCGGCGCTCGAAAAGGAAACCTGCTTGGCGAGCACAAGTCGCATGAGCTAGTACTGGATCATCATCCTGAAGACGTTGTAGTTGGATAGAAAACAATCCTTTAATTCCCACGATCCACTTTCTATTAACCTCCGCATTGACTGTGAAAGAAAGTGGTGACTGTGCAATGAAGCTATTCTGTGCCCAATGCAATTGAAATTTTGGTTTAGCGTTTTCTGTATGGTTAGGTTATGGAGGTGTTTGGTTGTGTAGATTGCGGTCAACTTGATCTACCCAAGCTTTGAGGAAGGCGAAATCCACCGAAACGTTAACTTGGAAGTGAACAAAGAAATAAAATAACGCCTGGTAGTTGCTCAATAAGAATATAAACAATCCAAAGCAAATAATAATATTCTTACATCGTCACAAGCGGAACATCTTATCAGTCCTTCACGACTATGTCCACACAGATCACACTGGTAACGTGAGGATTCGTAATCATCACCCATTGCAAAAACATATTCTCTCGGCAGATATTTGCTGTAAAGCGGCTATATAAAGACGAGATTAATAAGAACCAAGAACTAAAACGTACAAGATCCCATCAATAGATGTTTGCTTCGGAGGAGGATGAGTGTAGCAGCACGATGGATTGGTAGCATCGTTGAAGACTGTTCGCCTTAAAAACGGACAAAACCACTTGCTCTTCTTTTTCGAAAGGGAAAAATACCAGAAACAAATCATTAAATAAACTGTGCAGTAATGTGACCTCCATATAATCAAAGAAAACAAAATACGCCGAAATTTCAAACAATGTGGAGTAACGGTCCCACTAAGAACCTCGCACTGGCAACAACATCGAAAAAAGAAAAAAACAAAGAAAAATATATTGTAAGCAGAGTTTATTCTCCTAGCTAGATTCCCAGAGAGGTCATAACGAGTCCTGATTGCCTGGTACCAGCTTTTGACTAGACTGATGTTTTTCTTATTGGGTTGAGCTCTCAAGACCGCCGTGAAGTGACAGGTTAAAACTACAGTCATTCGACTACCACTTAAATCAGTCAAAGTTTTCTTACTTCACGACTATCCGCATTCCAACATGGATCTTCATACAACACTTTGAATAACTCAATACCCCTACTTTCTACAGACGTCGGAATAACCGATCTTCAACATATGTTCCCTCTAACTCGGGATTTCAGATGAAAACGTCGAACTCTTCACTTCGGACAAAATGAAAAAACAGATCCCTGCCATGTTTTATATTACGACGCTCATGAACAGCTCGCGGCCAGAGTTAGATGTAGAAAATTGAAGCGACTTGTTAAACTTATAATAACGAAAACAGAAGATCAAGAAAGTACCAGTAAAGTTCGCTTGATACACATGGCTCTTCAAACAACCTTTTGTTTTAAGAGAATTTTCAGTACGTTGAGAAGTCACAAAATCATAACACCAACTAGAATGCACCATATTCAAAATTTTTAGATTTTTCAAACAAACCGGTTGAAGATAGCGCAAGCAGTGTGGACATAAGCGCAAATGTCAGCACCTGCCCGACATGGCACTAGCGCTCCACCTCTGAGTTCACAAAGATGGCACGATGTACCACGGATAGCAATTTCGTTTCGACCTCTGCATCGAAAACACCTCCAGCTCTCTAAAATTCAAAAGCTCCGAACTATTGAAAACAGAATATACACTCAATTTAGAGACATAATAGCTGACTTGGAAACAACCAAGGGTTTCGATCTTGAAGCAATATCTTATTTGGTGTTCGAGCTTTTCTGCTCACTTGCTTTTCTTAGGGTTTGGTATTGAAAGACGACCCTCTAGCATTTCAAAATGACGTCAAAATGCAAAACAGTGCTATTTAGAACGATCCAATCTTCTTCCGACCTTTATGGAACACTGTTTGACAACGTCTCCTTCTCAAAAAAAAAAAAACAAAACTGAATTTTATTCCAATTTTCTGACGTCTTATGAGAACAACCAGAGCGTTAGCTGGGGTGAAGGGAAGGTAGTACAGCCAACTTTAAACTTAAGTGAGAAGTTAAAAGGAATATAAAATGTTGACCTAAAAAGTTCCAACGGTTTAACTCCTCATCGTGGCTGGGAGGTGTTCTTGGGTGTCAGACTGTACAGCTGGCGATTCATCTCCTGGCAGGGTCTCCCAAGCTGAGGAGTCCGGGTTTCCATCAGGAAAGCTAGCTAAGAGTAAACCAATACCAGGATCCACCACCGTCCTGGTATCAAAGTCGCATGGTGGTAAATCTCCCTCTGGTCCACAAAGGCTGCAACTACCCGCGGTGGTGACGACTTGAAGTAAACTTTGGCCAGGCTGACATCGGGACTCCAGGGAACCATAATGACTTAACAAGCAAATCCGCGAAAAATGGAGATTGTGCTGGGGTCCGCACAACCAGTGAGGACGGGCCATTCAAGTATCAAGTAAGTATCTAATACGTCCTGGCTTTAATTAAAAACACATGGAGTTAGCATAGGAAGTGTGCTACCCTTATTGATAAAATTGACATTGGTGCACCGCAAACTAAGGCTCTCCGCAATATTTCTGGTACCCATTTTCCTCTCTCAATATTTTCAGTGCAGAGAGAACCCATGATGGCCAAGCAGTTAGAAGCTCCCATTAAAACATATGTCGCTTTTTCGATTCCGTACCTTGGGCTAACTAAGCCCTACAAACGGGTGAAACTCGTTTGCGAGAACGGAAATAGTGACTTAATACGAATGCTTGATACACTGAAACTGCTCTGAGGACCCTAGCAAGTCCTCATAAAGGCCAAATACGATTTCAATCACCTGTATGCTGCGTAATGAAGTCGAATGTACAGCATACCCTTAAGGCACTGATGAAAAGCTGAACTCAACCCTTTATTGTCCTTAGCACATTTTTCCTGATCATTTCACTAAAATGTTAAGTAAGGGCATACTTAAAACCCGTAGTTAACAGTTAAGCAGATAAATCCGACATTTAACGATACGAAGGAAAGGTAATTGATGGCAATCCCTATTTTTTGAAAAGGCCACAGAATTTCCATCAGAGTACATTACCGCTACTTGTAAAACCTATTGTTGGCTTAGAAATCGTAGAAGTCAATATATATAGAAACATGCACCACTGATTTACTCAGTACAAAGCAACCACGACAACGCCAAAACAAAAAATAACTTCTAGAAAAACATTAAAACTAGTATTGTCGCTACTTTTAGATAGGAAAACGGCTTGCGATGCAATGGATAGCTTTTTTTCAAGAGCGACGAGCCAACGGAAGGTTGCACTTCATTGTTCACTTTAAGATAGTTGACCTTTCGGTGGGATTAGCACGCTGTTGTGAAACAAACACTGCAGTAACAACCTCGTGTCTGCTCATCAAGAAAACAGTAAACCGTTGATCAATTCTGAGGTTAACAAAAAGTCGGCCCTGGGAATTGCAACAACTGGGATTTTTCTACGATAGGAAAACGTATGAATACCATTCGATTTGTGTCAAATCAATGATGATAGAATACGAATTGCATATTTCACCAGGGAAAATTCCTTTTACATGCTACGACATCATGTACTATGCGAATCCCAGCACTTCGTTCATTCGATTTGACTCCTCGCATTCACTATTAAAGAAGGTCTTCAGATGTTTTACCTACGTGCTGGTTTAGCTGCAGTGTGAGAACGAGTGGTCTTCTCTTGCGAAGGTCGCTGACGGGTGATCGAGTCGATTCTCCTTAGAACCACGAGATACGCTTAGGACGCTCCAAATCTTCACCACCTGTGATAGCCAGCCTTTACGAATATGCAAGAGGTGCTCCCTGAGAAGTTTGTCATCCACTTATTGACTCCTGATGGATCGAAGGTTTGATTGGCCCAGTGCCGCGTCGAATTAGGGCCTTTCGCGTTTTAACCTGTACCTCTACTGTTGCACTACCCCCTTCTAGCAAAACTGTCCTCCATGTTTAAGATTTCGTTATGGTAACAGTTCTATGATGACTAGTATTACGAAACCGAAACCAAATACTATTTTTTTTCTAGTTGTCAACCATACATCACAATTTAACATCAATACCCTACATGTTAAAACCATGCAAGTAATTCAGGATCCCTTTACGATTAAACACTTCTATAATTTATGACACATAAAAAAGATCTCAGCGTTGATCAATCCCTGAGGAATGCACCATGCATCCGACTTCATCAAGCATCGTTGGAGGTGATTGGATGCATATCTGGCCTTTCCAGTGTCTCGCTGTTGCCTGCCGATGTATCGAACCAGTGCTGCTATCTTCCCAGACAAGTTTGGTACCAATTTGCCGACCCCGGAGAGATGGAGGGCTTGGTGGACCACGGGCACGCGGATCGATTCCACGTGTGTCGCAGTGGCGCCTCCAACCACTGCGCCACACGTTCCATATTTATGCCACATGGAACATGTAATCACATAATCATCATTCACAAGGTTATATTATGAAATCTGAGATATTTTAAAACTTCTGAAACGTACCCATCACTGATATGCTAGAACCTCCACCATAACACGATGGGTGAACCGACACGCAGCAATTTGAGCACGTAACAAGAACGTCTTCGGATAAATCAACGATTGGTAACCGACGTTCATCTTTAGCGAAACATAGACCGAATGCTAATCGTGCTGACCTGAGAACGAAGTAAAAAGTTTAAAAAGATATGCTCACATAGAAAACGCAACATGTGAGAACCTCTGTGGTACGTCGATCGACGATGTTGTGATATGCAAAGGCTGAAAATATTGACAAACAGCACAATGAGGCCATAGACGAGCAACAGATTGATTGAACGTCTTCTCTGCCGAGAAGTTGGTCGACTCGTTAGACCATAAGGCCGCTAAATGAATAAAACGGTGATTAATAGTTAACGTCAGTGTCTAACATATTCGCGACGATGCTGACTTATCGATAAGTGTCGGCAATTTCCTACTGACTAGGGTACTATAAGACTTAGGATACTTATAGAGCAGACTTTCTTCTTTCTCCCCAAGGGTGTAAATAACTTTTCCAAACATACGTCCATAAAGGTTACAAAATTCTCAACACAACGAACAACGATGTAAGCCACCTATTCAGAACACTGCTGTTTGAGAAAAAAGCGAAACGAACGACCCCCACAGTATAGTGGTGAACGCGTTAGCCCCCTGAAAGGGTAACAAATAGCGTGTTCGATCCCCACAACAAACACCTGCAGTCTGGAGTTTTGCAAATGCCTCAGGATCATTGTAGCTGAATATTGTTTCTTTCTGACCGATTCCCGCTTGTTCAATTGAATCGTAACTTTCAGTAGGAACATCGGAATTAGAAGGCCCCAAAGGCAACGATTCATGAAACTCAGAAAGTTCAAACTTCATAGGAAAAGTACTACTTTGGTTCCAATGATGTGTACATTCCAGTGACTATTACAATTGACAAAGTATTTAAGCTGAAAGCCTTAATCACTGTCGACTACACATACATTGAAATCAATGCATATCGTGGCGAATATGTTGAGGACTTCCTCTTTGGTCCTCTTTGGAAAAACAACATAACAACAGTAAAAAGTTAGCAAATGAAACTCCCCAGGAAGCACAACAAACGTACACAGGCTATCCTTCCAACATTTTCGTGATGGATGCGACAATGTTGTCTGAGAGAGCCGCAGATAACTATCGTGAGCTCTATGTTCTAAAATAAAGACGAATTAATGTTTAGAATACCACACCTGTCAAGATCAACAATGAAGGATGTAATACTTAGCAAGGAAATGCCATTACTCTTCTAATAACAAAGCCCTATCAAAAATATGGTTGCAAACAACCACAGGAAAGCAAACCCAACAACAAGTATCAAGAAGGTAACGACTTTAAGAGTAAAGTATGAGTTTCGCAAAAACTAGATGCCTCCCAAATAAGAAATAACTAGATTTAAAACAACAAAATATGACTGAACAACAAAACAAATGACTAACAAGTAACTAGATAGCTTCCAAACGGTTGCTTTAACTAGCTTTTTTGAATACCTTACCTTCTATGTTAATTCTGATAGCCTACCTATCACAGAAGCTGCGCCGAAGGTAATCCCAAGAACCCCATTCTCAACACTATGAAGTTCACGAAAGCCTTAACAATTCCTGGGACGATTTTCCGGATCTCGCTGCGAATCCCTCGGCAATGCAGTATCAATGCGATTGTTGCTAAGGATGTCTTTAGCGCTCTTTTACGGTGAAGTATCGACAAGGGCTTATGGACTAAGCTTCGTCTGTGTTCTCTTAGTGTTTTTGGAAACATTATTGTTTAGATCTTAAATATAATATGCATGTCTTGCACAAAATCAACACATTTCGTGATTTATAATTCTTCACGAACAAACCACACCTTCCAATAAACTACTTGCTGTTTATGATTATTACTCAAATCTACTCCTAACAGCTTGCAGCCTTATTGTGGCCGTGAGGTATTCCTGGGTGTTAAGCTGCAATGTACAGCAGGGTCCTCCAGGGAACCACAATCGCTAAACCAGCAAAAACCACGAAGAAACGGAGAAAATGGTAGTGCATTATTTTGGCAATTCTTTACAGCTATCAATACACATATTTTTGAAACTGAAGTGGTCTCCTCTAGTACATAAACGTCCACGCCTTAGTAGTGCTGTCAATTTAAAGAGACTTCAATGTTGAACCCTCTGCTCCTACTCTATGTACATTCCATTATAAATACCCTTCCAAAAGCGAAGATCGACGATTCTTCAACAATCATTTGCTCAAACAACTGACTCATCTCTTCTCCTTTCACAATCATACTTCAAATATCAGCTAAAAATAACTTGAAGAATGAACTGGTTAGAATTTCTAAAGCAGAAATTGTTGATTCGCTCAAACCGGCTCACGTCGAAGATTCAGGTCCATCAAGACTTTTTTAGGTTTCAAAACACACTGCTGATCTCAGCATCATTATCTTCGTCCTCATGCTACGATTTAGCTATTTTAGGAAGCTTTTTCAAGGCAGAAACACAGGAAATCCCTAATTTTACTGCATCTTCAGTTTCTTGCTCATGAGCGATGTGAAGTGGACAGAAATTACGTTCAGTTCGATTCCTGCCAACGTGGTTAAACGATGAAAGGTTCAGTTTTGAACGATGAACTCATTTTTGTCCCTTTCAAACAATTTTTATATTGAACCGTGGCAGTCCTATAGAATAGGGGCACACAGAAAATAGAAACCTCTAAATGATTTAAGATGTCAGGCATACCGATGTACGTATATATATATATATATATATATATATATATAATATATATACATATAAACATATATATACATGTATATATGTATGTATGTACGCATGTATAAATTTGTATATAAAAGCAAGCTTCTAGAAAAGTATAGAAGAATACAGAGTAGAAAATAGAGACTATGCAGAATACTTACAGAAAAACTAGAAGGGAAAATCAGTGATGACATGCTGCGCGTTGATTTCAATGCAAATTAGGCGTAGAGTATCACTTGATTGAAAAAAGAAGCTATAGAAAAAACACTGAAGAAAATAAAGAAAAATCCATCCTTAAACCAACCACTTCTCTCAACAAAACTCCCACTACACGTTCGTCGTTTTTTTGCTTGGTCATTTACGAGGTTACAGTTCATATACTTTCCTCCACTTCTTTTCTTTCTTTCTAAAAAGAAAGACGTATAATAAAGTAATAACATATAAATTATTGATTGGACGGTCGAACGAAAATTCAGAAGTAGAGTAAAAAGGATAGAAGTCATAACCCACTCTTCGATGGAGTGCCTTTCGTTGGCATTGGTAAGTACCAGTACGAGTACCACTTCTCATATTTATTCCTCCTATATTTTTTCATGAAAGGCTAAAAGACATAAGCCCATTAAACGCTACCCTTTATAACTATAGCAATTAAGAACAATTTATTGATTTAAGTAGGTCCTACCAATTACTTGGATACCTGCATGGCACGTCCCCACAGGTTATGAGGACCTCAGCATAACCTCCATTTTTCGGAGTTTCGCTGGTTTAGCCACTGTGTCTCCCTGGAGCCCCGAGGTCAGCATAGCCAGTCCGCTTCATGCGACTAGTTTGGCACCAGGGCTGTGGTGGATCCTGGTATTGGTTTACTCCTAGCTGGACTTCTTGATGGAAACGCCGGATCCGTTCTCAACTTGGGATGCCCTGCCGGTAGGATGAATCCACCTACTGTACATCGCAACCCATCACCCAGGAACAGCTCCCAGGTATGATGAGCCAGTAAACCGTTGGGAGGATGATTAGTTAACATAATTAAGTAATAGAAAAGGAAGACAAGAATAGAACACCGCAGGGTGTGATGGTGAACGCGTTAGCTCCCGGAAAGTGTAGTAGCCGGTTCGATTTCCACAGCAAACTGTTGCGGTCCGGATTTTTGGAAAGATCTCAGCATCATTGTGGTTACAAAGTCTTGTAGTTTCGAAATATACCGTCATGTCGATTTCAACCATATCCGAACGACATTTACATAGCGTAGCGTTCTTTCCGAAATCAATCCAACGATCCGTGGCAAAATTTGTACTCTCGGCAATATTGTAACCAAGATTAAAGCCCATGTGGTATCCCTGAAAGCTATTAGTGAACAACGCTTCATTCCAAGCAAGAAACTTTCACCAAAAAACAGCTTACATGAGGGAATGTTATGATGAACTCGTTAGGATATTGTATCATGGTTCCATAAGGAATTTTATGTAAATCGAGCAGGGATGGAAGAACGATGAAGTTCTTATGCCTTATGAATGCCTAAATTTACTCATTCATTTAGTTATTATGGCGAAAAAGGATCCCATAAGAACTACTAAGACTTCTAAGAAAACAATCCACCTTGCACTGACGATCGTACGCTGGGAACTGCTGTCGCATAAGTCTCTCGAAGCGCGCAGAAGCCTCCGGAGGAACGGCAAACCAGTACTCAAGGAGAGTTTGTTCAGGTTATTTTGTTTTTGTTTGTATTTTCCACAAATAAAAACAAAATAGAAAAGGGCAGGATGCGTCATGCATTCGACTTCATTAAGCATCGTTTGGAAGTGATTTAATGCATATCTGGGCCTTACAATGACTCACGGTAGCTTATCGATGTATCGAACCAGTGCTGCTATCCTCCCAAACAAGTCTGGTACCAATTTGCCAACCCCGCAGGGATAGAAGGCTTGGCGAGCCTGGGCGCGTGGATCGATTCCATGTGTACTAGGGCGCCTCTAACCGCTGCGCTACATGAGCCTCTAATAAAAACATAAAATGGAGTAAGTAATGACGTACTTTTGGCGATCCATAATGCAAATAATTGATCGAATATAGCTCCATGTCCTCTACATGCCATGCGAATGAAGCACCGTACATACCAAAATACAAATAAACAGAGTTCACTCCTTTTATGACCTAAACTCATCCAGAAGTCATGAAGGACAACATCCTCAGATCTACGTAGGCTATGGAAAACCTTTCCACCAGTGACATTCTTCGTGTCGTCTAGGATCGTTCCCAGTTGCTTCATGTTAAACTCTACCACATCCTCATCATAGAAAGATCCCTCAGTGTCAGCGCCATAAATTGGATGACGAGTCGACATATTTTCAAAGTAATACCTAGAAAAAGGAATAAAATGCTTCGGATACCCATAATATGACCCATGGAGGTACAGGAAAACGAAGGAAACTAACAATTCAATATCCCTTCCTCGCAGATTAGCTCTCGGATTCCGATGTTTCGAGCTTTCTGCTAGTTTCCGGAATTCTGCTCCAGTCATAGACTTTTTATAGACGTGATTGGTTTTCAGGATTGCATCATTATGTCGCTGGATCGATTCCCTTACAGGACTTAAAATAAAACTTTACTTAACAACACCCCTTAATAATCAATATACATGCTTTCTTTGACAAGCTTACACTTAAGCTTTTTGATAAGGAAACACACTTCACTCCTTCGTTGAATTGCTCAGCTTACACGAAGTTGATATATAACTATTTATTTAATATACTTTTCTCTTAAAAGCCGAATAAAGATTGTCTATCAACCTCGTGTCAACTGAACGATCCAACGAGACTTATTGATTGAATTACACGCCGAGTTTAGATGATGGTCGGCTGGAAAATTATTGACTTACTTACACTTTACTATGAACATATGCATAGACGCACCTTTTTATAACAAACTGCTCTACCTGGTCATCTGTGTAGTCGAAGTGGATTTTCGAAGGTCGTGCAGTCCACCCTTCAGGCGCTACCACCTTCAAATACTTTGAGCTGCACACAAAAGTGAACTAGCAAAATCCAACAATCATGTAGATATTAGGAAGATCACACGCGAATCACATAACCTATCAGGGTTAACTGCCACTCATCACGTTTTGGAAGAATCCTACTCACTAAAGCGCTTGAAAGATCCTGATAAGAACAAACCTTGCAAATCCCGGATCTGCGATGAGCACCAACATCTTCAATCTTCTGTATGTATCCCTTAAAATCCTTGAACTCTTCAATAGTAGGATAAAACGTGAAGACCTCAAAACCTGCTGGGCCAGTTGGAATATGAGGAGGATGATCCTTTCTAAAAATTGTAATGAACAAAATGGATACGAACAGAGGGCAGCTCCATAGTGCTCAGTGATACTTTAGCGCTTCTTAAAACCAGATCTAATTTTAATCTTACCGCTTTATAAAGTTGAAAATCAACAACAATTACGGTATACTTCGGAAGCACTACAGTAAGAAGCTATAAGTAACCAATTATCATTTCTGGATCAATACGCATCAAAATGCTTGTTCTCCTATAATGAACGTCAACAGAAAAGTGTACCACATGGAGTTGGCGATTTACGACGCTTAACAAAGCAAAATACACGGCTACCATACTTCTGAACTAACTGGATGAGCGATGTATTACGGTAACTACAAGTGTTTTACCCATACAGGTTTAATTTTTCACCAAGCCTCAACTCCTGATAGTTTTCATCAAACCATGTGTATCATTATTTCATTGTTTACCGATATGTGAAGTATAACATTCAAAGCTATAATCGAGCATATAGAAATGCCACAAGTCTTCCTTTTCTAGCACTTTTTCTCGAACGCCCGGCCTCTGTTGCACCGAATTGACTCACATCATGGGATGTGCTGGCGTGTCTTAGATTAGGTAACCTGGATACGGCCATGACCTTGCAGCTTACTGTCAAGCGGATCTGATTTGGTTCAACGTAGTCTTTTGCAAAACCTTAGAATCTATAACTGTCCTTCGATATACACATGGTGCAAGAAAAATGCTTGAAGTAGAAATGGTCACATACGGGTCCTATGGTGCTCCTGATATCCTGCAAGCATAGGAAGTCTACTGCATAGCTCTAATGTCCAATAATGTGCTTCGCCCACTCGATGAACAGTGTGATTACAGATGACACAAGCGTCCATTCCAGACCCCAATACACTCAATGCCCCACTTTTTGCCTGTTTTTCTGGTTGTGACCGATTTTCCAAGGCTTAAAGACATTCTCTACTTTCTTAGGAATTCTCGGGTGCAAATGTATCCATAACACAATTGGAACTTCATCGTGACCTAAGCTTTGATATAACAGCTAGATTAAGCTTCTCGTTAGCAAACTGGTCGCAAACAGAAATATACCGTATCTTCTCCCAGACGAAGTTCGCTAGACGATTTACTTAAGATTTGATTTCACATACGAGGGTACCAGATTTCACTTGTATTACACAACTATCAAACTAAACAGCCGACGCGAATCAGGGACAGAAACGGGACAAAACACTGTCGCGAACGATTACTCAACAAATTCGCCGCTCCCGATAACAACTGAATTACTGTTATATGAAATAATATTGGAATTTTACTTGCATTGAACAGAAAATCGTACTGGGATAATACAACGTCAAGTCAAAACGATTCTTATACTTGTAGTGCTACTGTTACCTTAGAGCTAATTACGGTAGGACGCCAAAAATAGTTCACAGGGACAAAAAAAAGCGAACGTATTGGGTCTGGACATGATACACTACGCCCAGGTTACAGTTAGAAAGAATATAGAGAGCAAATATCGATGTAACAGAGTATTTACTTCGTCATGGTTGGAGTAGAGGTCAGCAGTACGATAAGTTAGGTTCCGCGTCAGAGGTTGTTTTTGAAATCTTTGTTTTTTGAAGTTGAAATGAAGGTTTTGCCAGCCTCTTTCATTAAACCACAAAGGGACCGAATTACTTTGGAATCCCTGGATAAAATCCCAGCCAATTCTTCGGGAAGTTTCGGAATTCACTTCACTCTTTAGCTGCGTTTGCTCAGTTTAAGAGATAATACAATGGAATAAAATAATATAGTAATTAAAACACCATAAACCTGTTAGGAAATGGAATCTCTCCACCATCAGCATACAAGGTCATTTGGCAGTCATTATTAAGCCAGTACGAATCGCCTGGAATTTTTGTTTTTCTTCAACAGAAAGTCGATGGAAGCAAGAGATCTTAAAGTTGAGAATTCAAAACATTCCACGGAGTACTGCTCGGAACGTAAGTACTTCGGAATTTATCCAAAGGAAAAGCTTTGTGCTCGGATTATTTCAATAGTACTAATGAATTACTATGGCTCAATACTTTTCAAACCTTATTCCATTAAATCTAGACAAAAACAGTCAATACCTTCTTCAATTATTAAGCAAACACAAGGTTTATAGAAGAAAAAGTCCCATTCAGTTGACGTCTCGATGCTTTCGTCTTTTTGAGAGCCGAACTAATCCGGTATCGACCCGCCGATGATCCACAACGGGTGGCCATCCCCGCGGCGTGGGTGGTCGACGGCGCATCGAGTCGAATGCGGAAGTTTTTCTTTTGTCTTTATCAACTTCATGCTTAGTTAACAAACGAAGACAGTACGACTTATATTCATCTAGGTGGCTTATACATATGAGCCATATATGGCTCACACTTGTCGATAAGTCGATAACGTACACCAACTTTAACGTGAGAGTTGGAATTCATCGTCATGAACTAACAGCAAGAATAATGATAAAAAGGAAATGAAGGATAGTTACTTCATAGTCTACTCGCTTTACCAGTATTGCCAGAATATATGTAGAATGAAAAGGTCATCATCGTTCCCCTCCAATAGACATCTTCGAACGTTCCCATTTTGCTTAAGGAACTAAGACTCTCCAAGAAATGAGGAACATCGCTCATACCAGTTTCTTTGAGAAATACGAACTTTTCATAGTAAATAAAATTTAAAAAAGCAGATTTCATACCCGTGTATAAACAAAGAATGATACGAGATCTTCTTTTCAACAAACAGTTGAGAAAACAACTGAATAGATAATGTGAGAAAACCGCGACGTCACTGAGCTTCACATGTGAAGATTCAGAAAGTTATCTTTACTTAGTTCTCTACTACTTCTTAAAGAAAACTAGTAAAATACCAATTTGTACAAGTAACACTTCAATCGAACCTGTACGTTCGTAGAATGTAGCATGGAAGTAGAACATTCTAGGGATAGGTATCCTAAAGAACTTCTGCTAAAGTAGGGAAGACTACTCTTTGCGGAGATATACTTCTTAAAGAGGACAGTAACGGTTAGGAATTTCTGATGTTTCCCTTCCTGAAACTTGACAAAAAATGATGAACACGTTTCTTTTTTCCAAAGAGAGCGACTATGAAGAAAGAAGTGACTGTCACAAATCCTTTAGGTGTGCATAGGCTTTTTCCTTTTCAGAAACTTGGCCTAATATAAAAAGCACCAAACCTGGTTAGTAAACTTCCTGATGAAAACTTGTCCACATAAAGTTGTTTCCATCTTTGCTTAGTTGCCATCCCGAACCACAACTAGGGCCAAAGATTGCTTGGGATTTTTGGCTCATCCAGAAATATGGTGCTTGCGGAACGCCAACATTCTTCACCCTCCCCCTCCCTTCCAGTTAGACTTACAAGTCAACCTCTAAGCTTGCTCGAACGAGTAAGTGAAGCATGACTGTAAGTTATCGACTTAAGACATATGTAGACCACTTCAATATAGAGAGTTTTGAGACCCGTACATTTAGGAAGACAATACAAAACTTACAGTCGTTTAGGATAAACTTCTCTTAAAACATTATGTCTGCAAGATCGATCGATAATTTTCGTTTGCATAAACTCGAACAAAATTTTCCAACAAAGACAGATCAAGAAAACAAAAAACAAACAGTTGTAAAGGTTTATACCAGTTACAGAAACAATAACGCTTCATACTCTTCAGATCTTTGAAGACAGCACATTTGCTTTTACTCCTGCTCCCAGCGATAACTACAAGAACGACTTCGGTTTCTTGGAGGTTCTCGGGTTGGGTTCCTAGCACACGGGAGGATCATAAGCATGGAACGTCCTTAAGTTTTCTATTTTCTAAAACCTATTCATAAGTCCCTTCTGTTTGTTTCGAACCGCCGAACGCTCCTACTAACATCTTTGAGCAGTTCCTTGACTATCTTCTAAATATATTTCCATTTTAGAAATGCTTAACCGTGACAGTCGGATAGCAGACCACCCACTAAGTGTTCCAGAGAAATATCTGATGCCAAGGATGGAACAAAAACGATCACAATAACCAAAACTCCAAAGCGATGACACGGAATTCACCGTAGTTTCTTGACTCAACGAGTCAGAAACGAATCCTAGACGGTCCTGGGCCTCGGACCCCATGTTCGGTGACCCGTAAGACTCGAGAGACCGGGTGGCAAGCCTTGTCGATCGCGACGACGCGCTCCGGCGTCGCGCTGTTGGTCCGAGGCGTCACCTGCCGGCGCGAAATTCAAATGACGCCGAAGGGGCGCGCGGTCGCCGCGTATTGATTTTGGCGACCATGGGCGTCACTCGCCGGCGTTCGCAGCTGTGTTCGCCTCCTCGTCCTATTGATCGCCGGGCAATTGCGCCTTGTTTTTCGTTTCAGTCTGCTTCTAACATCCATCTTTCACGACCGAAGAGTCTTTAGACAGTACTTCTCATCAATTTGTGGTAGACCAAGGTTTCCACTTTTCCCAACGTAGCCGGATGAGAATGAGTTGGTACTGCGTGGCAGTCCGTGCCGAACCACTCTTTCGTCGCGCAGGGTGAAAAAGTAGAAGACAAGTCGCCATCTGTTGAGAGTTCGAGAATTACTCACTAATGTATACAACCATTTTGCTACCACCAGCATCAGAAGTCGTTAATCTTCGTTCTCATAGTTTCTTTGCGGTGTTTTTACTCTCAGAAATAGTCTTGTTCAGCTCGTAAAAGATCTGAGCAGCTAAGACTTCTGGCAGAGACGCCGCCAAACACAGCATCAATGGTCGCAGCGCGCGCAGTCGCGACGCGTGCAGTCGCGTTTCGCGCGCGCCGCGTGCAGTCGCCTCTATGGACGCCATTCATTCAGTCGCCAGTCGGCCATCCAGCGGCGCCCTCCTACCCCAGCCTAAGCCAGTGCAACCGTTTTCCCCTAGTCAATGCCGACAATATTGAAAGCGTTAAGTCCGAGACTCTAGTAACTCGATGCTTGGATTTGCTACCATGTGGGCTGTATGTGCTGAGGGATAGTTTTTTCTACAAATGAATTTCTATCTGCGTTGTTTATCTGAACCTTTTAGCACCTGGTTGAGTCGTAGTATCGTTATGAAGTTCTATGTTTATGTCATCGTACTTAAACTTCTAAATGAAATCCTTCCAGCAATGGCCAAAGCTGCAAAGAAAGCATCACCTGCCAAAAAGGACGTAAAAGCAAAGAAAGGAAGCAAAGCTAAAGTAAGCGTGACGATTTCAGACTGTGTTCGGTATTTGGTGGATTAAATAATACCTTTTAGGATCCTAATGCTCCAAAGCGTGCTATGTCGGCTTTCTTTTTCTGGATGGCTGACAATCGAGACAGAATCAAGAAGCCTGGAATGGGGGTGGCAGAAGTTGCGAAGGCAGCTGGGGTAGAGTGGGGCAAGGTCGCGGACAAATCGGTACGTTTTGTCCATGAGATAGTTTAGACGCCCAAATAATTTGATATACAGTGATGGTACCAATACTTTACATGATTTAGAAGTGGGAGAAGAAGGCTGCCGAAGATAAGAAGCGCTATGAGTCAGAAATGGCTGCGTACAAAGGGAGTGAGTAATTGGATGTTCAAAATCTACCTCAGGGATTCCAATTGCTACCCAGTGTTTCGCGATACTCATCTGTAAATAATATTTTTGTACCTGTCGAATTTGTCGTTTCCTGTGTAGATGAGTAGCTGACGTAATAAATTTTCCACTTGTTGTTGTCACACAGGATATTCAGCACGGTCTAAAGGGTCACTTGATGAAATCCCCTGGTACACTATGATTAGTATTTCCGCCATCTCTCGTATTTTAGATTCAGACTTCCCGATCAGAGATACTAACGCTTAGAAGCAGCGGATCCTTCATAGGGAGAGGGAGCCCGATACTGGCTAGGATATGCAGCGAATGCAGATGGCGGGAACGGATTATGCGCGTCGGGCAAAGGCGACCTTGCCCTGACGCTTGGGGGGGGGTCCATTTGGGGGCGAGCGACCCATTTTTGTTATTTGGGGCTACGTATCTCGTAAGCATATAATTATGTGGGATATGCTTCCTAAATGTAGAACGTAGATATGCGATCGTATGTTTGCATGTGAGCAGATTGTTCGATAGACGTCGTTTTAGCCGAAGGCTCCATTGTGAAGTGAAGGCTTTATCCTTTCATCAAGAACGGTACCTATGAAGGGGCTTCATTTGAATAGTATGGTAATTCCCACATACTCTGAGGGATCGTAACGGTATAAATAGGAACGTTTGTGACTCGTTGATATGATGGGAGTGTTGTTTATGTGGTATTAACAGTTGGTTTCAAAGACTTCGAAGTAACTGAATAAGTATTGGGCCAGAGCTTTTTTCTTAATATCTAGCACGGCGATTACCTAGAACTGTTAGTTAGTCATCACTATCATGACACATCTGAGTAGCCTATCGTATTTAGCTCACCTAGGCTATTATTACGAGTCTCACTGAAGAGTGGATCTCTACCAAACATCACTAGAAATGTCCAAGTTTTAGGAAGCAGGTGAATACTTGGAAAAAATTGAAATCTGAATGCGAAATATGTTTTCTGCAATACTGTGTTCCCCTTTAGTAAGAATCCTGAAAAATATGAATAACAGTGCTACCAGACTTGTCTGGAAAGATAGCAGCACTGGCTCGATGCATCGGTAGGCCGCCGTAAGTCATTCGGAAAGCCAGATATGCACGCAGTCACCTCCGACGATGCTTATTTATGGCGAATACACAGTGCATCTCTCAGGAATTGATCAACGCCGTGAGCTTTATCCTTAATATATATTAGAAATAATTGGGATTTCCTTCTTGACGAACTATTTGATATGCTCGGGATTCCGACGTAGAAAAACCAATGCCCATTTGTCGATCAAAATCAGAGTATAGCATGATCACTGGAAGCATTGTGATTGATAGAATGAACAGTTGTGGTGGCTAAGTATGACTTTGGTTATTCATGAAAAGTGTAGTTAATAAAGTGAAATACTGAGTGAATTCCATTAGACGTCTACCATTTACTTTTATGGCCCATGTAATGAATGCAAGTATTTCCATCTCCTCTTTCATTTTCCTGGCTGAAAGTGCCGAATGATGTAAATGTAAACATGGAGCAATCAATAAAAACAAAGCATACTCAAAAGAAAACAAAGTACCAGCTGATAGAATACACGAGTAGAGTTTTAGAGAGTACGGGATTCTTAGTAAACTTGTAGTTTGGCTAAAGACTTAGCTGGGGCTAATTCACATGTCGTGTGGACTCGAGCACTTCTGTGGATCGATTCGATGTCGTGGAACCGTCATTCACTGAAGTGGTCGATTTCGTACATGGGTTTGGCTGTGGTTTAAGGTTTTGTAGTCTTCTTTCCTCACTGACATACTGATTTGTCTCTTGGGGTCCGGACTAGGCTGTTCCCAGGTCTTCAGCAGTCATCGGCCGCCCTCTGTACTGGATCGGTTGGCTTGTTGGATTGCGAGTAGGATTACTCCCAAGATGTCAGCGACTGAGTTGGCTTTAGCGATTCTTATCAATCGATAGATCGACATTTTACATTTGATGACAATGAAAATCCATAAAGAATTCTCGCATATGTTAAGGAATAAGAAATAGTCAAGCTCTCGGCGTTAATCAATCCCTGAGGAACACGCCATGCACACGACTTCAGCAAGCATCGCTAGCTAATTGCATGCATATCCGCCGTATACAATGAAATGTTGCTATCCTCTAAATCAAGTCTCGCATTAATTCTTCGACACTGGATTGATGGATGGTTTGGTTAGCCGTTGTTGTGATAGAAACAATGACCACCTGGGTAGGGCACTTTTTATCTCTGCGCTACACGTTCACCACCGTGTATACTACATAGATAAGTTGTAGAATTCATTCGGAACAATCGTGCGTTGGCAGCATTGCAGACATAGTTAAGCCTGGTTGGGTTCGAGTTTTGCCTGATTACGAATGTAACCCTCCGATTTCATAAGAAAAGAAAACGTCAGTGACAAACTACTACCAAAAGTTGAACAATCGGCCTTTCTAAGAAAGTTTTGTGACCTAAATATTGATAATGAAACATCTTTTTCTTTATTTAAGATGTTGAGAAGAGATGAAAAATCACTGCGTTATGTCCACTTTAGAGGATTTTATTGTTAAAAGCAAACATTCAACAGCGGGACTTCCTTGTTCTTTCCTGCTAGCATATTCGCTACGATACGTATTCTCTACAGTCATGGCCGTCTCTCGAGTGGCCATTGTGAGCTATGGAAAAACTCTATTTTTGATGGTTTATTTTGGCGCATAGAACCCTTTTACTGTAATTTTGACAATCGATCTATATCTTCTTATCCAAGAAAGATGTGGCGTCCTTCCGCATGTGCTGCGTACCAACGATTTGCCTGCCTATTTTTTTTTCCAGCACTCGTCATCTTTTTTACAGCAATACTTTCTTTATACAATCAGCATAAAAAAACCACCTTTATAACTTCATCAAGGTCTCGTAGGAACCATATGTCTGGATTGACGGGCAAAAACAACGACCCATTACAGTGTTTACGGCATCCATAACTGAGATCGGGCATCGAGTGTAGTGTCCTTCTGGGAGATGTATTGATTGTCAGAAAACCTCACAGGGTTCGCTGCATATTTAAACTACTGTAGTGAAGGTTTTTGTGGATTGTTCTAGGGAGTTTCATTTTTCTAACAGAAAGAATATCGTAGTTCGGTATTTCAATTTCTCATTTGTCTTTCCTCTTAAAGTCTTCTACACCAACATTTGTATTGTTCTATTAAAATATATAGTTTTATCGTTCGTTGTTGCCAAAGCGCGACTCAGTGTAGGGGTCAACCGTCCCGACAGGGTCAGCTATGTCAACGAGTGCGACTCTTCCACCTGGGAGGCGAGTTATATGCAAACCAATGTAAAGAATGCTTGATGTTCTGAATGAATCCCACTTATAAGATGAGAAATCACCAATCGACCTCAAATGTCGGCGATTACCTGCAATGATGAACTGGTGTGGAATGCGTTGATACATCGTCCCTTCCGGTACTTAAAGATGAAAATCTGGTCCATCTCGCAACTTAACAGCCAGGGGAAAATGTGGAGCAACCTGCACAAATATTCAAGAAGATGCACCATAAAACTATTCAAGTAAGTGTAGGGTTCGCACACCTAGTTACCATTTCACTACTTCATCCTTTCAAGCTTAATCATTTGTTCATATTTTTGTTGAGCAAACGCGAGGTGTTATTATTCTTTATTCACGAATAAGCTGACGTTTCGGTGGATTTCGCCTTCCTCAGAGCCGCTTTCTATGAGGTTTCCACTAAGTATGTCACGTAGAGACCAACCGCACAGGAATCACATGGAAGCATAATGTGGTCGTGGGAGTTATTCATTTGTGTCATTTGTAACTGAGTAAATCATCCAGTGACCCGGACAGGCACTATTATCATCCCGTCAATAAATGTTATGCGTCACAGCTGCCCATTGGGCGTCGCTCGCTTGCTTTCGAGGTTTGAGGAACAATCAATCTTTTAGTGTGGTCCTCTACTTTTATTATTTTAGGCTCGAGGGTTCTTTTTCAAGACTGAATTGGATATGTAAGATAACCTTCATGTCTAATATTGTTGATTTATAGCGTCGGTAGCGCGCGTGTAGAGCAGTGATCGGAAGTGGAGTACACATGGGATCGATCCCGGCGCCAAAGGTTCACCAAGTCTTCAATCTCTTCAAGGTCGGCAAATTGATACCAGACTTGTCTGAGAGGATAGCATCACTGGTTCGATACATCGGTAGGCCACCGCGAGTCATTTGTAGAGGCCAGATATGCATTCAATCATCTCCGGTCGAATGCATGGCACTTCCCTCAGGAAACGATCAAAGCCAGGAGCTTTATCCTTTGATTTTATAGCATGTAACCTCGTTGATGGCTGTTCAGTGAATCTTGGGCTTTGATACTTCTATAGGACTAAGCCATTTTCTTTCCTTTCTTGTGTACGGAACTACATAAATATGTTCTTTTTTACTTGTCAGTCCTTGGTAGAAGGCTGCAAGGAAGGTTACTCAGTTTTCAATACCTTCTTCGATGATTAATCAAATGCGAGCTTCTTAAGAAGACTTAGTTGGCTTACGCTTCGACTTTTCGTCTTCAGACCCGGATTGATCCGAGTCGGTGGGCCACAGCACCCGCACTAGTGGGAGACTTCACTTGGCGGTGACCTTCTATACACAGGGTGTTGATCGATTCCCGCCTCCAGAATGATCTACTTTTGGCGGGCAATGCATCCTGCAGCTGTCGCTGTAATATTAGCTAGCACAGAGCAAATCAATAGCTTTCCAAGCTGAATTTCATTAAACCTTGGCAAACAACTAGTGAGTTTTAGTTAATGATGAAAGGTCCTCCTACTTAACCGACTTCTACTTAACCTGGGCTTAAATAATCAGTGAATCTTTTTGAACTGTTCAGTTTACGTTGATATACAACTTTTATTGGGCTAAAGTCTCGCCTTCTTCGTCCACCTACTATTTGTACGCTTATCACACTTAGAGCTCTAGCTCACCTGTCGTATGGGTCCCTGAACTTCTTCCATTCAATTCGTTGTCTTGCAACCATCTGAGATATATGGTTCAGAAGTAGGTTCGACACCTGGATATCAGTTTCCCTCTCACCTCTACGATATACCTAAGTTCTGGTTGAGCGGGATTTTCGCTGTAATTTTGTGTTAGCCTCACTAGGATGCTCACTAGCCTTCAATTGGGTCTTTTCTTTCATCAAAAAAAGGGTTTTACTATTGCTAGAATCTTTCAGCGATTCCAGGAGCAGCAACGACTACTACGCTTAGTTGACTGATATCTTCGAAAAGGATGTATAACAACGAAGCTCCATCTACTCTACGAGCGATTAATTTACCAACTGACCTATTGTTGCTAGCTTGAGTGATATATGACTCATGCTCGATGAGGAACAAAGTGACCAGCGTGCTTCAATCTGATTCGTTCTCTTTTCAACTGTTTCAGTTGTTACGGAGACACCAGTGGATAAGTGCAAAAAGTCTTCCAATATCAGAAAACCTTGAAATTATCACTAATCATTACGCCACTTCTTTTTGGAGTCTGGGTGATATAGATAAACTGCAGACATCCCTCTGAATGTTTATGTATACCAGGCAGAGAAGAAAATGCAGCTCTTCAATTGTTCATACATATGAAGGAGAACACAGAACATAGAAAGGTTCTGAGCATCCACTGAAGTACATGAGTTAAATGAATCACAGTGAACTATCGCTACAATTGAACAAGTGAAAAACTAAGACATTTGATTCCGAACGCAATGCTGAGCAGAAACAAATTTTTACAAAGTTTAATGGCGATGACCGTCACTACAGAAATCTGAGGTATTATTTCACAGCGTTGTTTTCCTCTCCTACATTCCTTTATTCTCACTGACTCATTGAGGAACGTGATGAATGCATACGGTAGGTTCTTTTCCCTAAGCTTTCTTTCTATTTGAAGACTGGCATGGCTTCATTATGTGTGACTAATAGAATAACTACATCTAGCACTAAATGCCAATGCCTTTTTATTGAGCTGGAATGCTTTAAAAGCTTTACAAAGTAGGATTTGTACCCCAGTTGTAGGAGGATTTGTTGGTAGTATATCTTGTGAAGCGAAAGAAGAACAGAGGTGACAAAGGTGATGGCGGTCAATGAGGTAAAAATGTTGGAGAGAAATGGAGACCACATGTTAAATGTTACCAGACTACTTGAACAATTTGTCGATAGACCACTGATTTATTCACAGTGTGTTAATAAGTTAAACATGCTGTCTCGGTTAACAGATAGAAAGAATTAAGAATATGAATTACATTAAACCCGTCACAGTAATCGATCGATACGTATACTGTGCACATAACCGCACATGCAACGGTGTAATAATATGCTTGAGGGGCATGGTTTCATGATGGAACAAATATTTAGGTTTTTACTACTTTCCGTGCCTAGTCGTTTTTCGTGATTACATAGAATTAAGTGAGCTATAAACGATTGGAACTGTTTAAAAATTTGTTGTTGTGTTCTTCAGTTGCATTTCTGAATCGCAATTCGGAATCGATTTCAGCGTGGTCCTCTTCTGCCGTGGTGCTAACAGAATTGATTCGATATTAAGGGCTGGATATTCAGCGACCAGTGTACAAACTATGGCCAGGAAATAGGAGATGAGCAACTGTAGGAAGCAGTGTACGAATAGAGGCAGCATAGATTCGAACCACATTGGGAATGGTATCAATAAGTAGGTGAACACAACGGGAATCATGTGAATTAGGTACACCTGGAAGCAGTTATTATTTAGAGAACTTGGAAATAAGATATCTGAAATAAAGTTAACGACAATGATGAACGGTTTTGAGCTTTTTATTAAATGTACCCTGGATCCAGTATGAGTGAGGTGTAGTGAGTAATATCCAGTACTCTAAGGATCGGAGGTGAACAGTTTGATCTGCGTAAGAAACGTGTGACATCTGTTGGTGACCGCATTTAACTTTTATAAGAAAACTATTAAGCGGACATTTTCAGTGGTAAAATGATTTCTACTCGACAGTGTTATGTAAGGAAAGTTCAAAGTGATCGGTGAAAATAACTGCATTTTTATGAAGCGTGCTAAGACAGCCTGTAAATATTACACCATTTTTCAAACCCCATATCTTGTTCTTGTTTGTTTCAATAGGAGCGAAAGAAGCTTGTGTTAAATTGCCATATACCTTACTGCATGTATGGAATAGAATAATATTGTAATGAAGTTTTTAGGTATACGGCAGCACCACCTACACTATCTGCTTAGCGCCAGATACTTCAAATGAGCTGCATTTGAATTCCTCTTCCGTCTGAATTCCTTCCTACAATGTGCCTATTTTTGGCCAGCCCTCCTTATGAAGAAGTCTAACCAGCGTGCAGTTTGGTTTTGTATTCTCTAGACATCCGCCATGTCCGAGGAATCTTGTCAAACGATTGTCACATAGGACTCGTAATGGAACCGGCCATCTGACGTCCGACATAATCGGCTTAAGCGGCATCATTGTTGAGCTCCAGTCGTCGACGTAGATAAGAACACCGGATTGCTTGTTTAATAAGTACTTGCCACAATATATATATACATATATGTATATATACATACATATGTATATAATGTGTAGAGGATAAAGCGCTCGATGTTCATCTATTACCTAGGGATGCTCGATGGTTTGGATTCTATCAAGCGTCTGAAAGGTAACTGAATGAGTAGGTGGTGGGACCCATCGATGTTCACGGACAAGTGCCACCAATTTGTCGACCCCGGAGGATGGGGGTTTCATTGTTCCCATTTCAGATTGAAGTCATTTTCTAGCAGCTAGTTCTTCAGATGTTCGATTTTCTTATGCTATTGATACTAAGCCTATTTCTATCACTTAATAAAATGATACTATGGCAAGTTTTGGAGCATAGAAACACTAGGATTTTTGTACGAAACCGCGCCTTATTGTTTGATTGGATAGGATGAGAACCCGTGTGCAGCTTATCGGCCAATTCATCTACGTTACTCCTAGAAGTTGACAGTAATGTGATTAAACTAATATACAGAGCCGATTCGCTGAAATCGTATGAGTTTCATAATAGTATACGCTCACTTTTGCTTCCAACTGAACCACCTTAACCTCTAGCCAACAACGCACCACTTAGCCTAGTGGCTAAACGACACAAGGAAGACTCCATATGTAAGTGTTATTTATGGTGTATTTCATGGCTATGGCTATTTGTGGTGTCTAATCCAGAACATAGAAACCCTATTATTAAAAAACGCCAGGTGAATGGCTAGACAAAAATGCGCTCCTATAGATTCTAACTACAGGACAATTGAACTTTGATGAGATAATAGAACACTTTTTGTTATTACTTAAACGAAGACCCTAAACTCAAAAATTTGTTGTTTCTCGATCTTTTGATTGAGTCTTTTCCTGAACAGTTTTAGTTATTTAATAATTTGCAAAGCTTACCGAAAAGCATAGATTTGAAAGCGGTAGAAAAAAGTTGGCACTCAGAATTGTGTTGATTATACCTCCAATACCAGTATGACATGCGTAGATTATCCATGCCATACTTAAAGCGAACACATCTCTGGAAGAATAACATATTAAACTGGCAATATAGGCCAGATACTAAGGGAAACAAAGTTTTATATGTGCATGTAATACGGTAATGGGGCAGATAGCGCAGTGTTAGTGACGTCAAACATTAGGAGTACAATGCTGGTTCGATCCCTTCCCAGGCTCACCAATTCTCTCTCCCCACTTTTCCCTAATTCTCCACCAATTCAGGAAATTGGTGTCGGGCTTGTACAGGAAAAAATCCCTCTCTACAATCTAATGGGGAACGCCCTATCCTGACTCTATAGAGAGTCGACTCGACCAGCATCGTACGACATTCAAGATGAGATGGAAATCCTCAAGAAGCGGCCGATACTACACTTAAAGGTTCGAAGACCATCGTGGATGATGGATGAGAAGAAACGAATCGAATTCGAGAAGTGTTGGGATTCGCACAATAGACGTGAAAACGGGTCGTATAAAATAAAATTTAGAAAAAACACAACAACACCATGCTATTTTGCAATGAACATTAACCCTTTCGTGACGAAGGAGCTTTTTGATAACTAGCTATAACCGTAATGATAAAAACGATGGAAAACTAGCTGAGAGACAGGCGAAACGATGGATGCGCTACTCCCCGTAAAGGACAATAGCGCGTTCGTTCCCCACCGTAGACACCTGCACTCCAGAGTTTTGCAAATATCTCAGCATCATTGTGGTTGCATCACACATAATACCGTGTCGTTAAGAAATGTAAAAGGCAGTAAATAACAAGTTAACATACTGACTATAATGTCTCAATGGATGAAGTACTTTAGGAGTTCAGAACTTTATAAAATAAATGGTAGACTTCGACCTATAGAAATAGTCATGAAACAATTTTTACACACCGTTTATTCAAAATTGAACTTTTTTAGAATCACCATTTCAAAAAAAATTTAAAGTAAGAGTCATAACTCTAGAGTTTTCAAGGCAAGAGCAACGTTTGCAAACATCAACGGTGCACTGGAGGGCACAGTAGTGTCCAGTTAGACAAAATTCCCTTATTCATTTGCTTTCATTTTCGAAATATGAGCCTTAGAGGAAAGAAGTGGGAAAAATATGTGTCGTGGGTTCCAAAAAAAGTAAGGAATTTATCGTAGTGAAGCAGGAGGAAGTTTATCTTGTAGGCTATGATTTGCAGCTTTCAATGGCTTTTACTCCTTTTCACTGTGAACTGAAAGGTGTTGGTTTAAAGTTGAAAGCGGTCAGAATTTTCGCATCGTATGACTCTTGTACAGGCTACTTCGTCATCTAATGGTAGATGTTCCAATGAAATAAGAGTTCTAAAGTTATCTAGAATCGTTTTTCTTGTCATGATTACATTTTGAAGAGAATTCATTTAGTAAAGTGTAACAAGAAATTTTGCAACGGAAGTTTAATAAAACTGTTGGATGATTCTAATGAGCAAAAGAGTGTTGGCCTAGGGCATACCTTTCATCATCTCTTCACTAAATTCGGAGCAAACTAATAAACTAACTGACAGCATGATGTATTCGGACAAGCATAACTTTTGACGCTGAGGACTACTCTGGTCGAGAAATTTGATTTTCTTACCAACTAAGAAGCCTTGAAAATCATTAGCGTATGACCCAGCTATTAATCATTAGGAGTGTTATTTTTGGTAAGGAAACATATGAGCAAGAGACAACCTGTGAATAGTACCGTAGACAAGATGATAAATAGGCCAATTCCAGCCTTGAAGTGATGGATAAACACCGTAGAGCGCCCAGAAACCACACAGAAAACCAGCAAGCCATCCAAGCACTGAAATTTTAATTTGAACGTGATCTGTTTTATCACCAGATAGCATTGAAATTAGATGATCGACAACGATTTAAGAGAAAATAATCTCCTTACTTATGAATTTCGTGCTTCTAACCGTCTTAACAGCTTGGCGTTGATAGTTTGCCATGTAATAGCCAAGAACTAATCCGATGATATAAGGCCCGATACGGTATTGTGGTTTAATGTACAACTCAAGGTGATGCTGAAATAGTTGTTTCTTAATAAAATGAGAACATATGGATTAAATAGACGAAACACATTCTTTTTATCAAAAGAAGACAGTTGCAGAACTGCCATGCAAAATTCAGGCCTAAATTTACCAGTGCATGGAGCTACATTCTCTCCGAATGTCAAAAAACCAGTGGAGGAAACATAAGGCTTTCAAGATATAGGTGATTGGGTGATTTCGTAACGCTCATCAAGACTGGATGATAGCGAAAGCTTTTAAAGTCGTCTACACCATCACGGTTCGTTGCTCGAAAGTGTCGACTTACAATTCCTTCTCTTGTAGTTACAAGTCAAAAAATCTAGAAGCTATATAGAAACTAATCACAGGCAATTCCTTCGTTGAGAATTATTAGAGAAACTTTCTAAAGTCACCTGAATAAAGTTCGGATTGAAGATGTCTGGTTGCTTCCAAAGCAATTGCGTAGGTGGGAAATTCTCTTCAATCATCTTCATGGTGTTCAATCCCATTGAAGCAAGAATCGTGACGAAACTCAATGACTGAAAATTTATTTGCTTTTAGGATTTATCCTTTTATTCAAATGTTTTTCATCATTACAAGCTTCAATATGGTAATCCAAGCTGATCAAGAAAGAAATTTTCATTTGAAAGTTCAGATGGGAGTAAAAGTATTGGATGGCGGAGTCCTATGAGCCACTGGCCACTACATTTTCACAAAGAACGGCAAACGAAATGGACAACATATTATCCCTTACGCCTAATAGTTGTAATATTATTAATGATAAAGTGACTAGCACTAGTGAAGTATTCATTCCTAGAGTGGGCTCCATGTGTTCAAACGGTGTGGGAACAACGTGCGTTTGTTATGAGAGCCTTTTGTTTTCCTTTACTTTTACTCTTCATCCCAGATATTTTACCCTGAGAGAGGCTCATCTTATAACTGGGTTTCTATACGGGGACGTCTTTCAGAACATGAGTGACTTTGCTGGATGAATAAGATCAATTCCTTGCCGTACATTGAAGGTCCACACTCAGAAAGAACTATTTTGCCACGGTGTGACGATGTGCAGTAGGTGAAAGCAAGACAGGAAGTAAAAACTTATTTACAATTGATGAATCAATAAATGCTTTATATGCCCTTAAAAACGGTTCTATTACGAGTTACAATACTTTGATGTAGTTTTGTTTATTTTTTCACATATTAGAAAAATGATAGGAGTATCCCGTTTCACACAAGAAAGGGAAAGGATCCGAAGCTCCGAGCTACGTCAGTAATCAAAAGCCAAAGATGCCGTTATGTGCGCCAAACAGTCGAAGAAAAGGTGGGCCGGACACGTAGAGCGTATGAATGACAACTGATGGACAAGTGCCGTTGGTGACTGGATTCTACGGGATGTCAAACGTACTGCAGGAAGACCACCGACCCGATGGTCGGAGTTCTTCACAAAGTGCCTTGAAGAAAGATATGATGCTCAACGAGTCCCTAGAGCGAGCAGAACCGACTGGACTACTCTTACACGCGACAGGGAAAAATAGAAGATTTACTGGCGCCCGCACGAGTCACTCGACGATAAATGGGACTACATGTGATACAGGTGATCAGAAAAAAACCCTGTGGTAAAGGACATATACCACTTTTTTCCTTAATACTTAGCTGCTCATGGTTCCACAATAACCATGGTGAAGGTGTAATTTTAATTTGGTAAAGCTGCAGTACTATTACGACGAAAACGTAGAGGCGTACAAACTAAGAGATCGTTCACAACAAACATTCTACAGCTTTCGCTACTAAATTTGTCGAATGTTCTTGTTTTACTACTCAGAAAAAGTCTGTGAAGATTGAAGCTATAAAAAGCGATTAATTTTTTGTAATCTTCTTTAAGAAAAAACTCATTCCACTGGCACAGAAGAACGACTCACCAATCCAATTTTTGGTGTTTGGTGTAATGTAAGCAGAAAAATGGGCGAAATAAGAAAGAATAGGAATTCTGTGCCGATATACCTTAAAATTGCAGTGACTTTTGAAGAAAGAAAAGAGAAATTTTCCTCGTAGTGGAGAAAACGTGACGATTCGCCAATAAACTGACCATGTCCATGGTAAACAGCGGTTATCGAAGAGACTGTTGATAAAGAACACATTCTTGTACCAATGCTTTGGGCACTGAACAGCCGGATCGGTTGGTGGCCACATTGGGTGGAAATGGGTCACCTAAAGTGACCGTATTGCTTACAAGGATCAAACGCCATAGGGACTAAAGGCCCTACAAGCAGAAATATTCGGAAGTGCTGATTTTCAAGAAATAGATCATAATTCCACGTTAGCCTGAAGGCTGAACATAATTCAGTTCGTAGTTTACCAGAAGTGATTCATCATAGAAAATAAAAGAGAGTAATGGATAATAGTTAACCACCGAAATAGCTGAGAGACGTGCGAAACAAAGGACCCGTATGGTGTGGTGGTGAACGCGTTACTCCCCGGAAAGGATAATAGCGCGTTCGTTCCCCACCATAGACACCTACGGTCCAGAGTTTTGAAAATATCTCAGCAACGTTGTGGTTGTATTTCGCTTAGTAACCTGCCATGAAAATTATAGAAGGCAGAAAACAAAACGTTAAAATAGTTAACCAAGTTTCACATTGAATCAAGCTGTAGCAAAGAAACGTAAATATTTCTATATATGCTTAAACTTTGTCATAATACGATAGCAATGAAGCCCTTTTGAAGGCTATTTTGCCATCCCGAATGGAACATCTACCAATGGTAGAGCCAGCTATCCTTGCAGATCGACGTTGGAGTAAGTCGTCACTGCTTTGCTCCCCTTATAATCTACTTAGTACTTTTGAAAATAGAAAATATGAGAATAGAAGGCAGGTCATTTGGATGACATCTATAGAAGGTCTTCCGTAACAAAAAAAAAATGAAACTTGAGTGACGTACAGATAACCGTAATGTGACAGCCATCAGTGTGTACAAGTATGCAGGCCATAGGCGAACTATCCGATGCCTGTAGAAACGCAACCAATAGCCGTATGACGTCCAAGTGGGTTCTTCCTCTTAAAACACAAACTGTTGATCTAATTAGCACTCACTCAAAAACTTAGCTATAAATCCCGTTTTTCTGCACGTTACTAAAGTTCTGCTAGCAGTAGCTTTTTTATTTCGTACTTTCTATTACTTTTCCTCCATAGGGTTTAAAATATTATAAAAAAATAAAAATTGAAAAATAAAATATTAAAAATATTAATATTTTTAGCCAGTATCTGGATTTACCATAAAGCGTTGCTCAAATTCTTGCACGCAGCAAGGACGAGAATTTACATGCGCTGAATAAGCCTTCAAACGAACAGTGTGGGCAGTAAATGGCGCAATTCAGTGCAAACATTGGAAGGAAATATAAATGACAAAGCGTTCGGTGTTGACCAACCACTCAAGTTGGGTGATGCACTTAATTGCATTCGTACCATCGTAAAGGCAATTGAATGCATGTGTGACCTATACCTGTGTTGGAGTACCGAAGCATCAAGTTAGTGCTGCTATCCTTCCAGACTAATTTGGCACCAACTTGCTAACCACGGAGGGATGGAAGACTAAGGTGGTTTGGGCCACGAAACCGATTCAAAAACCATTTATATCTTGCAGGGCACGCCGAAGTATCGCGTTACACATGCCCAACAATGTTCAGTTATGTTTTTTGTCAGCCTTTTTAAGTAAAATGATAAAATTACGATTGATTACGAAGTCATTTTTGGCATTTTCTTTATTTGTTTATTCTTAGCAAAGTATTAAAATCTACTCTATGAATATAACTATATCGTTTGCCCACATAACATCTTCCGTAAATGCGTTCAGCTTTCTCCACTAGCATTCAGGTTTTTGTGGACACCGAGAAAAACTTTTAAACTACTCCACGATTCGAATATATAGTTCAAGAATTGTTTGCTACTACTTTATGGATGGGCGCGTGTGGCGCACTGGTTGGAGATGCCTTGCAACACACACATAGAATCGATTCCCGCTCCCATGGCCCACCAAGGCCTCCATCCCTCCGCGGAGGGTAAATTGGTACCAGACTTGTCTAGGAGAATAGCAGCACTGGCTCGGTACATCGGTAGGCCACTGCGAGCCACTGTAAAGACGAGATGTGCATTCAATCACCTCCAACGATGCTTGATGAAGCCGAATGCGCGGTGCATTCCTCAGGGATTGATCAACGCTGAGAGCTTTATCCTTTTTTCATTACTACTTTATGGATAATCACATCCGGGAGTATTCAACATATAGCGTTTTTACTTCGTTTGCATACTTTTCTAGTACTGCACCAGTTTTGCACTTACTATTCATTTTTTTCTATGCGAAAATCTCAAATCTTCGACACATACTCAAGTATCTGTCCAATCTTAACCCCTTTATTTACTGCCTTTTTCTTTTTAATAGCAGGGTATGTTGCGAAATATAACTTGTATGCAATGCTGAGATCGATGGAACTAGCTGAGAGGCAGGTAAAACGAAGGACCGGGATGGTGTGGTGGTGACGTGCACTACTCCCCGGCAAGGACAATAGCGCGGGTTCGTTCCCCACCGCATACTCCTGCGGCTCGGAGTTTTGCAAATATCTCAGCATTATATACGAGTTATATTTCGCAACATACCCTGCCATTAAAAAGAAAAAGGCAGTAAATAAGAGGGTTAAGATATCTGTCCAATATTTCTAGCCAGGTTATCTGGCAAATATTTTTAACCAGCTTTCAATTTCTCAAACAAACCAAACTGATATGTCCTGCTGCTACTAAATTTTCTTTGCTCGATACTCAATACAGACTACCTAGGATGTTTTTAACCGTTTTTCGAAGTAAGAAAACCTACCTAAGGTGTTTTTTAGCCATTTTCGAAACCACGAATAGGATAATACGGTTCCGCCTAGAACTAGGAAGGTGTCCACACCAAGAGTGAAGTTCGTAATCCATTGATTCCAAAAATTGTCTACCAATGCGTCCTTGAACTCTTCAACGTTGTCCATGTATGGCTAAATGATAGATGTTAACAGCAGTAGTGATAACAATTATGGTTACACCATATTACGGCGCCGAAATCTCATTTTTGTTAGTGAATTTCTCCTGTTTGAAAAACTTTGGTTCGGTCCAGGAACCTAAGGGTACTCGTTACAAACATTCTAGACGTTTCCCTTTCCTGTAGAATGTTTTCCGTTTTTCCAACTATGCTAATCGAGAGGAGCTGTAATGATGGCTTCTCTGACCTGGACAAAGATGAATGAGTGTCCGACAAGTGTCCAGACCATCGAGAGGAAGCGCATCCCGAACATACACGTTATGCATGACTGTGGATCTTTCGGTAATTGAACGAGACGCCTTAGATTCTTCTTAGCCGAAAACGCCAGCAGAATTCCAGCTGACAATGACCTTGAAAAAAAGAATAGTCTTTCTTTAATCGGGAACTTCGCTCAGATTCTTCGCATCAGAAACCTAAACCTTTCACTAAAACGGAAACCTTGCTAAATTTCTAGCTCTTTCAAGACATGGAAAGAGGAATCAAGTGAATTAATCACTTTTCGTTCCCGAAACGCCATTAACAACATTTTAAGTTGGTACATAAGTACTATTTTTGTTTTTCTATAAGGTTTGGTTTTGCGAATAGAGTGGTATTTCTTCCCATATTGTTCAACTGAACAGGTGCCTAATAAGACCGCTAATTGTTGCAGTACTTTAGTTTATTATGGGAATGAAATTACATTAGTTGGAAGGACAAAAACTGGGCTGATCTAACCTAAACAATACTTCCCGTTTATGGTCTGTTGACTCTTTTTTGCATGAAAGGAAGTTAGACGATGAAAAAGTACAGTAAGCGGATAGGGTGGTTCAAGATGTGCATGTGTAGGACATTTCCATCCAAAATGTCATGAATCACAACCAGTTCTGATTTTTTGATCGTAAAGTTGGAGCTGTCTCTGGAGTGTAGAAAGGCAGACGACCAGCAGCAATGTTGAGCGAAGAGTTAAAGAGGGAAGGAAAACCTTAGCTTGCCAGCAAAATAGGTTGGTCTCATTTGTAAAGGAGAACCGCTTAGGTAATCAAATAAATTATTGCTGACCTAATGTTTTCGCCTTGCATATTGTGGAATATGGTGGCCATGATGACGAGCGTAATTAGAAACAAATTGAAAGCAAGATCGGCAACTGGCACGAATTTCTCGAACCTGAAATGGGAAACTTTTTAGCAACTTGGTTCTATTATTCCATTAAGGTTGCAGAGGTTAAAGATGCTCGATGGTTGGGGGGATGAAAGAGATTGGACAAATCTTTTGCGTAAAGAAGCAATCGGGAAAAAAGGACAGAGACTAAAATGTAGGGGAAGACAATTACAACAAAAATTAGAAGAAATCCCACAAACACTTACAACCATATAAAATTAATCAGATTTAAGATTTACCAGATTTTCCATACTTTTAATGAAAAGTGACGAAAAGTTTTCTAGGATGCTTTCGAAAGAATTTCTAAGCGTTTCCTCTCGTAAACCGCAAAAGTGTACCGTAACAGTAACGGATTAAGGCGATCGAGGTGAATTGCTCTTCTCAAAAACTGCTAAATTGTGGAGAATACCGATATTCGTCTATCAAGAAATCTCAAGTCACCATTGCTTTTCGTGCCGTGAACGTATACACTCCGTGAAATCCATGGGCAGTGGTGCTTCCTCAGGTTTTGTCATCATCCGCCATTCTTTCAGCAACTGTAAGAATTAAGAACATAACTGACAAAGGATAAGCGTTCGCTGTTAGCCAATCCCTTAAGGATGCAACACACATTTGATCACGTTCGTAACATCGTAAAGATGTTTGAATGCATATCTGACTTATATAACTAAAATGTATAAAGTTAGCCTAAAGGAAGGTAGGCTTGGTTTGCCTAGCCTGCGAGATCGAACGAACGACCAAGTTTGTTGTTGGGCACCACATCTAACCACCGTACTACATGCGCGCGATTCAATTCGAATACCGGACACAAGACTTGTGTGATCTAGTGTTCCCAGTGAAAAGCTCATATTCGTCTTTAGTGTGCCGCTTTTACAAATCACATTGTCACCAAAAGCCACCCTTTTATTAAAAGTGTAATATTCCCTTTGTGGATCAAACAAGCGAATGTATTTGAGCAGTTCAAGTGCAGAATAGCTGTGAATAGACTTTTCTGGTAACCCATCGAGTCAATCGATGGTTAATGCTGTTACAGGTGCTAAAAGTGATCATAACTCAAAACAGTTTCACTAATCCTCATCTGCAAGGTTTCGGCCTGTTACATTCTGCTTTAGACTTTCACTATATACGTTGTCAGGTTATGTTATCAGGTCCTACTTTAAGAGGTTACGATTTCCCAAAGAAAAGATGACAAAACGGAAAACTTCACAATTTTCAAAATTGACCAACATTCAACCATGGAGCAAATGATGAATATTTTCTTGGATTGATAAACAAATATGGAGTTCTCACAGATTCTTTCTTAGGTAAGTTTTCGGCGCTGTCATCTGCTTCAAAACATGAATGGGCCAAAGACTAAGTCGATTGACTACAACAGTTCGCCCTCGCGATGTGAGTTTACATAGTCTCATCGGATTAAATTTTATGGAATGCAGCACAGCTGGAATGAGGGGTCCTCATTCATCGAGGCTCTTTTATACAGGATGATATGGTACAGACTACTGGAGTATGCCCCAACAACATGATAACAGGTCAGAGTGATTGGAGATTGGTCAACAATCATCCTTATAAAAGAGCCTTAATGAGTGAGCAAGCTCTCAAATTACAAAATTCAAATTCATTTAGGCTGTGCGTCGCTCCAGTAGATTAGACTCGATGTGACTACGAGGAGCAACACTACGAGGATAAATGTCTGTGGACAAGCGATTTGCATCCTGGCAGCTTTGAAGAAGTAGAATGCACATAAACGAACGCTAGCCGAGAGTTTTGTGTTCACTGGAAACAAAGACTTGGGGTGTTTTTTATAAGGTCCTTAAATGCTGCAGATGCTGTAGTGATGTATGATGACGTGACGAACACATGACGATATTTTCAGATCAATGAACAGCGCTGCTATCGGATACGATAGATAAGTGTGTAAGTGAAACGACGGTCATCCACATACCTGAACATGGTCGTCACCACAGGGTGATGGTACGCACACAGCATATGCATCTACATCGCTGTCCACATCTTCACGTGCGTAACAAAAGTGGAAAGGATATTCACTCTGAAAAAAAAATAACAATTTTACCATTCAAAAGTATCAAATCACAAGGTACAAACGCCCGAAATAACATGGTTCTATATAGTTACCGTGTAAAGTACTGCTTGAATGATAAAAATAAAAGGATAAGGCTCTCGACGTTGATCAATTACTGAGGGATGCGCTATGCAGTCGACTTGAATAAGTATCGCTAGAAGGTGATTCAATGCGTATCTGGTCTATGTAGTGACCCGCAGTGGCTCATCGACACATTGATTTAGGGCTGCTATTCTCCTAAATAAGTGTGGTGCCAAACTGCCCATCCCGAAGAGATGGAAGGCTTGGTAAGCCTTAGGCACAGGATAGAAACCATGTGTTTTGCTGGACACCTTTAACCAATGAGCTCCACTAGCCTAAGTACTGCTTAAGAACGTTTGAATTGAAAGCTAAAATCTCAAAGATTCAACTGTCATAATAAATTAACCATAAGTAGTATTCAACCAGTAGGCAGGCAAAGAGAAAATAATAATAACTTTTAAATACTTAAGGCAGCAGCGTATCAACACACATCAAAAATCGAAAAAGGCACTTTTTCCGACATTTTTTTCCAGTATATTTGTTTATTTCATTTCGTTGAATATTGTTAAAGTTTCTTTTCACGTTCAGCTTTCGACCTATTTGTCCATAGAGGATACCGTAAACTGTCACCTTAGAATAAACAGTTTCTCCAGATGACATTAGACACTCGTAACCTCGATGAATCCATCGATCTTGATCTCTTGAAAGAAAAAGATTTGAAGGACCTGAAACGCACTCGGTGGTTTTTCTATATGCGTGAAATTCTGGAGTAGAGTCCTCTACAGTACGATTGCAATGTGAAGCGCTATGATACGATACTGTGGTCGAGACGCAGATTGCGAGAGAGTGAGAGGGAACATAAATAGAGAGGTGGAAGAGAAAAAGTTGGGAAAGGAAAGGAAGAGAAATTGGAAGAATTAGAACTAGGACGACGTAGAACTCGAACACAATAGTTTGAGTTGGTTAAGTTTGAAATTCAACCAATTTCAAAGACTGAGTTATTTGTCCAAAGAAAACTGAACATGTAGCAGAGCCTGACCTTTTCCGAAAGAGAGGAAGTACTGAATGGCTTGTGTCTCTAATGTGTCGTGATCGAGAAGAAAATCATGCACCTGAAGGAAATCGTCATCAGGACTTCGAAATCGTAAAATTCTCTAAGTGTTTGTCCACAATTTTTATTCTGTGGCAGGAAGTTAATAGAAAAATACAGTATTCGATAAAATACGCATTCGACTTCTCAACGAGCTTATCGTTTAAAAACTGTATAATATAGCAGTACAGTTGGCCATTCCTCCTTGCTAACAATAAAATTTTTTAAATTCGATTCAACAGTACTTTGAGAAACTATTAAATCTGGAAGTAAAATGAGGAAACCGAAATGACTGAATTTCAGGATAATCTCATGTTCTGCTCAATTTTAAAAACTTTTGGTTTGCCGCATAATCCAAATGAAACTGACCCTTCCAAGACTTCTTCTGCATTCCTCAGAGATATCGATAGCTTGAGATCGATTTATGAACTTCAGAATAAAGTTTTCGTCGTATTTTTTCACTACTGCTTGTGCTGACCCAATCAAAAGAAATAAAACAAGAGTTCGAGGGCACGTCATGAACTCAAGGCGGATGATTGGACTCAAATCCCTGGAAGCAGCATGTATTTATGTATATTCATTTTTATATATGTGTACAAAATACATATTTATAAATACATTCGAACGGTGCTCGGCAAGTTCTGCGAAAAATTCAATTGTGACCTGATTTTGTCTACCAGAACACCAGAACTAAAAGAGATTTCTTCACTAGTAAGTTAGCACATAATCGAGACTACCTTCTTCGATTACCAATCAAGCACGAAGTTAATAAAAAGATTTATTCAGCTAATGTCTCGACGTATTCGTCTTCTTGAGAGGCAGACTGATACGCTCAAATGGTGCACAGCTGGCAGCAGTCGCGATGTGGATATGCGTTGTGCATCAAGTTCAATACGCTGAATGGAGCACTGCTCGAATGGAGAACTTCGAAAGTGCCATTTTATACAGGACAAGTTTTGGTCGATTACCGCCTCCACAAATTGCCATACAATTGTTTAATAATCGGAGAAGGCATTGGTCATTCTTGCCAAGGTTCAATGGAAGTCGGTTTGAAAAACCATTGTAGAATATTCCGACATAAAGATTTTTATACATTAATCTCGAAGTAGTAATAGCCCCAGCCATTCAGCTGAATATCTTAGTCAGCTACAATTTGTTTGTCTTGCTGAACTTCCTATGAAAATCTTTACTTTTACTTTCAAATACATACGTCTCTTGTTCTGAATTGATGTCAAACATCAATTCGGCATGTTCAACTGCTTCATTCGTTTTCAATTCCAAGGCACTTCACTCCGAGAAGTACCGTAATTAAGAGTTGCTCTTTGAGAAGAATAGTGAAGTATTAGAGATACTTTATAACTGAGTGCAACTTTGACTTCATACCAGCTTTATATCTACTTTACAGTATCTTCATTTACTGGACTGTGAGCCGAAGTCAGCGAAAGGAGAGCAAATAAAGAAACAAAGAAGCAACGTTAAAGCGCAAAATTTTCGAGTTCTACTCGTTTTTCGGCAGCATGTTCATTGATATTTTTGCGTTTCTAAACGGTGCAATGAGTTCTAGATTCCTTTGGAAAGAAAAGATCCTAAGCATGAAAGAGATGAGGAATTGTAGTAAGAATGAGATATGCTCATCATCACAGTTCTGTGAGCCTATCAATTACTATAGACAAAACGCTAGCGATCATCGTCAGAGGCCAAATAAGACCAAGTCAATCCGAGTTAAATCAAGTCAAGTCAAGTTTCTTAGATGTTAGTGAAGAAATCCGGAAGATATTATGTCGAACAAACTTTATTGCTCTGAGAACCCACTATATTCTCTCAATACGACGGAATGATCGATTCAATGTTGATGGAGGAGATTCGATGAAAGAGAATAACGACCAACATACATTCACCTACACGTAAGCACGCAAAAACATACAATACATTCACCAACTTAAACGATGCGCGACGTGTCTAACATCAGACGATCGTCAATCAGGAAGTTTTCTAGAAAATACCATGACCCTCTGCCTATCATCTCAGACGTTTGCTGTTTTTCTTAATAAACAAACACGAGGTTGGTATTATAGCGTTTATTAGTACACAACAGCCAATGTTTCGGCGGCTTCGCCTCCTACGTAGCCTGGAAAGGTCAAATTGACATGTAATCTACTCATCCGAACACGTTCATAATCTCAGAAGGCAATACTTAACATATGGTTTTCTGTTGGCATAATAAATAGCTTTTTTAAAAATATCCACCGTTCTATTATCTGTAAGTGATCCAGTTATTTGGTGGAGACTAACTGTACAGTTTACATGAACGAGCAATGTGACTAGATAGCTCAGGTCAAAAAATCACCTTGTAGTACGGCACGAGGTCACTCCTGATCACATGGCACTCCTCTTTGTTGCTCACTTGAAGTGTTTGTGGCTATGAAAGTGTTTGGCTGAGTAGATTTCATGCCAGTTTGACTTTTCTAAGCTCTGAAGAAGGCGGAGCCGCCGAAACATCATCTATTGTGTAGGAATAAGTACTGTAATACCAAACTCATGCTTTCTCATCAAGAAAAACAGCGAATTATCGCATAAAATAGGCATTCTATTGATATTCAGGGTTATGGTATTCCAAAGAGAAACTGTTCGTGAAAGATACACAAGAAAAATAAGGGAGCGAAACTCGAATCGGTTTACGAACAACTTCATCCATGTGTGCCTTCTTTGCAACTAGTTTTCGACTTTCTTCTAGAATTAGCAAAAAATACTTTCTATTTAGTAATGATGATTCTGTCACCCTAGCAATTTTTATCTTCTGTAGCTGATTCATTAATGACCTACATCTGAACAAATTTCAGACCCTCTGTCTCTGCTTCTCCTTTTTACTGTCACTCTCTCTCTCTCTCTAACCCACACACTCTATCCCACACTCTCGCCCATTCAATCGCTCATCTACAATCAAGCTTTCCCCGCCGTTCTACAGTTTTCAAATCAAGGAGAAGTCCTTCCTCTCTCCTTTCCATTTCTTTCTCCCCTCTCTTTGTCAAATTGTCATTCCACTTCCAGAAATTGACAGGGTCTCCCAAGCTGAGAAGGACTCCGGCTTTTCCGTCACGCAGCACGGCTAAATGTAAATCAGTACCAGGATTCATCATCGCCCTGGTACCAAACTGGACGCTTGGCGGCAAATCTCGCTCAGATACACAAGGGCTGCGACTGCTTGTAGTGGTGGCGACTTGGAACGGACTTTGGCAAGGCTGACCATGGGACTCCGGGGATCCACAATGGCTAGACCAGCAATACTCCGAAAAGTGGAAATTATGCTGGGCTCCGTACAAACAGTGAAAACGGGCTATCGAAGTATCTAAGTAAGTATGACTACCAGTATATTTGATACCTATTTCAAAAAGATTTCGTAACAAATTTTTCAAATGATAATGATCACGTCACTCAGATCAGATACGTTGGTTCTTTGGGATTTCGTTTTCCTTCACGGTGACCGCGATCTGAAGTGGGGTGTTTTCTCAAGAACGACATGAGGAGGCCGTTGAAGTTCAAGTGTTGTAGGTCCTGGCCAGGAGACAATCTATCTCGATAGTGCGTCGTGGACGTGTTGCTTTAGTCCGGTTTCAGTGACCTGTAGGGCCACCAATGACCAACAGAGATTTGATCGGTTTTCGGTGGCGCCTCACCCGTCATGGACCAGAGTGGTCGGTATACGGGTTACTGAGCCTACACTTAGCTAGCTGAGCACTCTTTTTTACACTAGAATTCTAAGATAAAAACCGATTAAGAAAAATATACTAATGAACAACTTCCCGTCTAATGCTCTACACATGAAAAACCGCTTATCAAAAACATACACCGAACGGCTAAAAATGTGTGCACAGGAAAACAAGGAAGGAAGAAATGGCTGAACTTGAACGAAAAGTGGCTATTTTCAATAGCTATAAAGCGGAAGCCTCTTTGATTAGATCAAAAGGTAAGATTAGGCTCTAAATAATGCTTCAAATCTAGATAAGATCTCTTTCAGGCTATCCTTCATTTCAAACGGAATAAACCATGTCATTAAAAGGTTCTTAAAAAGAAGTAGTCTTGGAAGTTCTACGGCAGTTATTAAACCTCCACCAAATACCCTCTGCCGTCAGTTAGACCTTAAGCGCTTCTACGGTCGCTCGTACAGCTCAAAAAATTATGTGATTTGTCCTAACGGGAGAAACGGGGACTGCACGAGTTCAGGCACAATGTACCTGTGATCTCATGAAAGTCATGGGGTGAGCAATACATTAGGGAAACGGGTAGACCACTTTGTGTCCGCATAAAAGAACAACTAGATGGGAAGGTCAAACTTCGTCAAGGAGCTCCTCTAAGTACAAATAGGGCACAAAAGCATAGTGGCAACGGTTTTGAAGTGATTGTCAGTCAGGATCTTAGCGCAGGAATTGGAACCAACGACACCCTCGCATGGTTTTGGATAAATTTCAAAAGCCCAAGCATGGATCTGAAAGATGAATATTCTGCTATCATACGTAGCCTTTGTCTTTCTTCAAATTTGTTTTCTGGTCTGGGTGGGCCTCACTCGTCATCCCACGTGAACAACGCGCGGTCTCTTCCTCACCCAAGAAAATCGTGAGTAGTTTTGAAACAAAATGGCGTTCATTTATACATTAGATCTTCATTAGTACTATAGATAGCTCACCGAGTCATAGGGATATCACAATGATGCTGAGATATTTGCAAGACGTGGACTTCGGACCATATTAGAACCTGAGATTACACTCTCCGGAGGCTCATTTATTACCCACTGAACCACTGAGGCTTTGATTTGTCTTTCTCTTAGCCAGTTTTATCCTAGCGGTGTCAGCAAACACCCGTAAAAGGGAATGATCTGCGGAGCACAAAGCGGTATCGAGTCTAGTTAAGCTGAGGCTGTAGTTGAAATCACAATGTTTAACATTTAATTTGTTGTCTATTATTTCGAAACCGACCTTCCCTAAACCTCGGTGTGACTAATCAATATGTATTCTTTCTTGATAAGCTTGCACGAGGTTGATAAATATATTTATTTTCGGCTAACGTTTCGACGTCTTCATCTTCCTCAGAGCCGGTGATCCGAGTCGATGGTCCATGCCTGTTGTTCGCCTCGGATCACCGGCTCTGAGGAAGACGAAGCGTCGAAACGTTAGCCGAAAATAAATATATTTATCAACCTCGTGCAAGCTTATCAAGAAAGAATACATGTTGTCTATTACTTCTTTCACGGAAGCGCATAAGGTGAAATACAATGTGTAAGAAGTGTGCTCTCGGAAAGAGTAACTGCTGTTCCATCTGGCGTGGGGACCAGGTTCTGAAGAAAGCTAAGTAGCCGAAACGTCAGCCCACCGAATCACGACAACAACAAAAACAACTGATGTCAACCTCCGTCAGTTCAACAAGAGCACTTCGTAGCAATTTATGCATATAAATCGTAAAACAATCGAACCATAATCTTTGGCCACATGTAGGTTTGATGAAAGATTGACCGTTTCTGCGTTTCT